CAATATTCATCAGCTCCGGGAAAGATGAGGATTGAGCTCCAGGTGCAATACCGGGCTCGTCATCATCACGTCCTGAGACGGAATCATCATGGTCAGGACGATTAGTCACATGACCCTGAGAGCGATTGGCTCTCGAGGCGTTAGACGATAGGTCATCAGTGCGAGTAGCACTGGACCTTTCTGAAGGCATTGCTTCGGAAAAGGTGTGGTCCGACAAAAAGTCAGCACCGGAAAAAGTCGGCTGTCCGGGCACCTGGTCGTCATTCACAACGTCCAAGATTCCGGCCTGGCCAAGAACCCACTCATCGGTCACCACGTGAGGTCCATCCTCAGTGATTTCCGCCATGAGACCTACAGTGGCCTATGGAAAACGGCGCCTGCAGGGTTGTTATTAAAAAGGGGTTCGCGGTGCCAACCGAGGACGAATCCTACGGCTGATAACCTGCGAAAGGGTTTGAAACAGAGTTTCGGGATGGATAAAAAAGGCCCTAACCCACCAACAAGAAGAGACCACCTTATCCCCCCGGCCCCAAGGGCAAAGCGGTTGCCGCCGGCCGGCACTAACACGAACCAAAAGGGGTGCCTCGTTGTAACAAGAAGAAACCAAGCAGAAGCGCAGCACAGCGCAGAGCAGGCAAGCAAACCAGCAGCAAGCAGCACCAAGCGAGCAAAGCGAGCAAGCGTGCAGAAGCAAAAAAATGCGCACCATTCTCAATCCCAAGTCCTGACCAACCACCAGCAACACCAACACCGACCAGAGAGGGCCGCAGCACCTTTTGCTGCGGAGCTCCAGGTCGCCGTGTTGAGGCGCCGACGTGATTGCAAGCAGAGTTGCCGGAACGAAAAGCTTGAGCCAAACCGCATTGGGCATTGGCATGATATAAACATGTTGTGATAAAAGTACATGCCCCCAAAAACAGGAGGAACTTGTGCTGCTGATGATGCGGGAAGCCACATCCAAAAACAGGCCAAAAAGCCCGGACAGGAACTGGGAAAGCAGAGGATGCAAAAAGCTAAAGCCGCCAAATGCCGCATAAACCAGCGAAAAGCCGCAAAAGCCAAAATGCCACCTGCCGAAGAGGAACTGGGAATGCAAAGGATGCGAAAGGCCAAAGCCAAGAAGCCGAAAATCCCAGAAGCTGAGAAGCCAAAAAGCCAAGAAGCCAAGAATCCAAAAAGCCAAGAAGCCAAGAAGCCAAAAAGCCAAGAAGCCAAGAAGCCAAGAAGCCAAAAAGCCAAGAAGCCAAAAAGCCAAGAAGCCAAGAAGCCAAGAAGCCAAGAAGCCGAAAAGCCAAGAAGCCAAGAAGCCAAGAAGCCAAGAAGCCAAGAAGCCAAGAAGCCAAGAAGCCAAGAAGCCAAAAAGCCAAGAAGCCAAGAAGCCAAAGGCGGGAAAAAAAGAACTCCCTTCTGCCGCCAGCTGCTCAGCCTATGTCGGATGTCATCTACGACCTTTCGTGGGACGACCTCGTCCGGAGACATGGCTGTCTCATAGGGTGCCATGAACTTCTTTACGGCCACACGCTTCATGCGAAAGTCCGAGGAGGCATGCGTGAATGCAAGGCCTAGGCCAGACACCACAAAGCCTGCAACAGCCAGGGAAAAGTCTCGTATATCGCGAATGTCAGCTGTCCTGTTGGGCGCAGCATGCATTGCCCTTTGTATCACAGCTCGAAGCTGCGGCCACGCATTCAGTTGGGTCGGTGGCGCGCTGGGCCGTCTTCTGCAACTCACCGGCTTTGCCTTGCTCGACGCAAAAGCACGTTAGCATGAGTAATTTCAAAGAACTACGATGCAGTCAAAGCGGCCCAGCTGTGTCCGATGAAATGGCCTCCTCCACCGCGATTCGCTCTGCCACTGAGGGCGGATGCCTTCTGCGGAAAGGGCGAGTACAACCAAGCACACACAAAGCTCTTAAAACACCCCAGCCTCTGGCAGCAGGGTGAAGTCTTCTGCGGCAAGCTGAAACAAGCTACTGCAGCAATCGCGCAGAACAATGGCACACTTCCTTTGCGGCGTCTCCTGGCAACCACGACGTCCAACACTGCTGAAGCCATCGTGCGACAGAGACTTTTGCAACTGCGCTCACGAGCCCGAAACGTCCAGCACGCTGAACCGAAGGACCCACCTTCTCCATCGGAGAGGGGTCTAGGGTTTGTGGCCTTGAAGGTTTAGGGGGTGAGCAGGCCGACACTTTTGAAAAGCCTTGCCTCTTGGTAGGACGCCGACATCTGCTGTTCAAATCCCTCTAAAACTAAACGCTAAACCGGCTAAACCTAAACCCTGAGAGCCCAAACGCCCAGCGGGCTCCAGTTCTGAGATGGTTGTTTGCACAGCTCTTCAGAGCCAACCCTTTTCTCAAAAACTGTTCCATCATACAGAAACCCAAACTCAACCGCTGCGCGCAAGGAACCAAAATAACTGTCTGCAACAAGTCGGCACATCAACCTACCATGAGGCAACTTCCTCGTGCAAGCTTTTCAGGGCATCTTCTGTTTGGCGATTGTCGCGTGCAAGCTTGAAGCAAACCTGTAAAGCTTCTCTGTAGGATGCCATATGATGGCATGCGCGTTCTCATTACAAATGAGCTTTGCAATTTTGCGTGGCTCATAGGCGGTAGTATTGATGACTGCCTTAATGCCTGCGCCTCCGCTCTGAAGCAGTGCGATTAAAATCTGCTGACCCACCTGCTTTCCATCAAGTGTAAGACTCATGAAGTTCACCACGTCTTTTTCTGCCATATTGTGGAAATCGACCTTGATGTCGCTCAGATTGATTCCTCTCCTCAGAGGGGAAAAGACACCGAAAGCGAGTCTCGCACAAAAGTCAAAAACGTGACTGCAAAGCAAAACACGGGCAAAGTGTTTAGAGAAGGCACTTCAGCATACTGCATGCATCCACCAAATCACCAGCGCGGCGGCCACCTTACTGAAACTCTGTGCTCACGCAACAAAGGGAAGCATTCAAAACAACAGCTTGACAGAAGCCTGAAGCATTGCCTGCCACAGCACAATTGTCAATGATTGCTGTCGCGGCCGACTCGTGCTCGTGCATCTTGAGCAACTCACTCGCCTCCTTCTCGGTCATGTCGCCCACCCAAATGTCGAATCTGCGACCGCCAGCATCAAACGCCAGAGCCGAGGCAGCAGATGAGGCGGCCACCAGCACCTGAAATGCATTGAGACTGGGAAAGCGGCGACTCAACAAGGAAGACAGAGTTGATTCATGGATTGACTATCAGCCGCGGGACATGTGCCGTTGCGGCGTAGCGTGAATCACTCGACATGTCCTTCGCTGTGGTGGAAACCAACTTCATCCCCTCCTCCTTACCTCAGGGGAGTTGCTTGCAAACGCTGACGCTATTCACAAAGTGCGCGCAGGCCTCCTTTGGTGTCGCGAGGAATGTCCAGAAGCAGGATGGGATATTGGGTCAGGTTCTTTGCAAACTTCTTCTTTTGCAACTTGGCGCGGACACGACGAAGCACCTCGGCAAACATGTTCGCGTCCTTCACTCCAAGCATTTGGTACATGGCAGGCTTCCAGTCTTCCACCTCGACCGTGAAGGCCCACACACCACAAACACCGCGCAAGGCCTCTTCCACGGCCACAGTCTTGCCGGATTTGTAGCGGCCACTCACGATGGTCGCGTCGGACTTCTGCCGCCAGCTGCTCAGCCTATGTCGGATGTCATCTACGACCTTTCGTGGGACGACCTCGTCCGGAGACTTGGCTGGCTCATAGGGTGCCATGAACTTCTTTACGGCCAGACGCTTCATGCGAAAGTCTGAGGCATACGTGAATGCAAGGCCTGCAGCAGACCACAAGAAACTCCATGCGTTGCTCGCTGCCACATTCTTGACACCCACTATGAGAGCGGGAATTGGCATTGGGCCGGATGGCCATGCCCTGACATGGGTCGGCGGCGTGCTGGGCCGCCTTCTGCAACTCACCGGTTTTGCCTTGCTCGACGCAACAGCACTTTAGCAAGAGTAATTTCAAAGAACTACGATGCAGTCAAAGCGGCCCAGCTGCGTCCGATGAAATGGCCTCCTCCACCGCGATTCGCTCTGCCACTGAGGGCGGATGCCTTCTGCGGAAAGGGCGAGTACAACCAAGCACACACACAAAGCTCTTAAACTCCCCAGCCTCTGGCAGCAGGGTGAAGTCCGTCTGCGGCAAGCTGAAACAAGCTGCTGCAGCAATCGCGCAGAACAATGGCACACTTCCTTTGCGGCGTCTCATGGCCATCACTGCGTGGGCAGGAAAGGTCAACAACGCAATGTTTCCATAAAGGGGAAGCAGCTGAATGCATGTGCGATAAGATTGAGCATAATTTAAATTATTTAAATTGGCAAGTTGGCAGACCACCCTTTTCCAATTCAAATAATTTCCACAATGTAAATAATCTGAAGCATGACATGGTTTAACTATATATATTATTTAAGTTTTCAAGTGGGGGGCCACTAGGGCTGACTGATTTAAATTTCTCTAAATAGAAGGCCCCCCTTTTCCAACTTGAATAACTCCAAAACAATAAGCCTTTTAAACTATTTGAAACTCAACTATGCTAGAACAAAAAAACATGTTAATGGGGCCAGGGGCCGCTGGAGAAACCACAACGTCCAACACAGCTGAAGCCATCGTGCGACAGAGACTTTTGCAACTGCGCTCACGAGCCCCAAACGTCCAGCACGCTGAACCGAAGGACCCAATCGGAGCGGGGTCTAGGGTTTTGTGGCCAGGCTGACACTGTTGAGAAGCCTTGCCTCTTGGTAGGACGCCGACATCTGCTGTTCAAATCCCTCTAAAACTAAACGCTAAACCGGCTAAACCTAAACCCTGAGAGCCCAAACGCCCAGCGGGCTCCAGTTCTGAGATGGTTGTTTGCACAGCTCTTCAGAGCCAACCCTTTTCTCAAAAACTGTTCCATCATACAGAAACCCAAACTCAACCGCTGCGCGCAAGGAACAAAAATAACTGTCTGGAACAAGTCGGCACATTAACCTACCATGAGGCAACTTCCTCGTGCAAGCTTTTCAGGGCATCTTCTGTTTGGCGATTGTCGCGTGCAAGCTTGAAGCAAACCTGTAAAGCTTCTCTGTAGGATGCCATATGATGGCATGCGCGTTCTCATCACGAATGAGCTTTGCAATTTTGCGTGGCTCATAGGCGGTAGTATTGATGACTGCCTTAATGCCTGCGCCTCCGCTCTGAAGCAGTGCGATTAAAATCTGCTGACCCACCTGCTTTCCATCAAGTGTAAGACTCATGAAGTTCACCACGTCTTTTTCTGCCATATTGTGGAAATCGACCTTGATGTCGCTCAGATTGATTCCTCTCCTCAGAGGGGAAAAGACACCGAAAGCGAGTCTCACAACAAAGGTCAGAAACGTGACTGCAAAGCAAAACACGGGCAAAGTGCTTAGAGAAGGCACTTCAGCATACTGCATGCATCCACCAAATCACCAGCGCGGCGGCCACCTTACTGAAACTCTGTGCTCACGCAACAAAGGGAAGCATTCAAAACAACAGCTTGACAGAAGCCTGAAGGATTGCCTGCCACAGCACAATTGTCAATGATTGCTGTCGCGGCCGACTCGTGCTCGTGCATCTTGAGCAACTCACTCGCCTCCTTCTCGGTCATGTCGCCCACCCAGATGTCGAATCTGCGACCGCCAGCATCAAACGCCAGAGCCGAGGCAGCAGATGAGGCGGCCACCAGCACCTGAAATGCATTGAGACTGGGAAAGCGGCGACTCAACAAGGAAGACAGAGTTGATTCATGGATTGACTATCAGCCGCGGGACATGTGCCGTTGCGGCGTAGCGTGAATCACTCGACATGTCCTTCGCTGTGGTGGAAACCAACTTCATCCCCTCCTCCTTACCTCAGGGGAGTTGCTTGCAAACGCTGACGCTATTCACAAAGTGCGCGCAGGCCTCCTTTGGTGTCGCGAGGAATGTCCAGAAGCAGGATGGGATATTGGGTCAGGTTCTTTGCAAACTTCTTCTTTTGCAACTTGGCGCGGACACGACGAAGCACCTCGGCAAACATGTTCGCGTCCTTCACTCCAAGCATTTGGTACATGGCAGGCTTCCAGTCTTCCACCTCGACCGTGAAGGCCCACACACCACAAACACCGCGCAAGGCCTCTTCCACGGCCACAGTCTTGCCGGATTTGTAGCGGCCACTCACGATGGTCGCGTCGGACTGCTGCCGCCAGCTGCTCAGCCTATGTTGGATGTCATCTACGACCTTTCGTGGGACGACCTCGTCCGGAGACTTGGCTGGCTCATAGGGTGCCATGAACTTCTTTACGGCCAGACGCTTCATGCGAAAGTCCGAGGAGGCATACGTGAATGCAAGGCCTAGGCCAGACACCACAAAGCCTAGGCCAGACACCACAAAGCCTGCAACAGCCAGGGAAAAGTCTCGTATATCGCGAATGTCAGCTGTCCTGTTGGGCGCAGCATGCATTGCCCTTTGCATCACAGCTCGAAGCTGCGGCCACGCATTCAGTTGGGTCGGTGGCGCGCTGGGCCGTCTTCTGCAACTCCCCGGCTTTGCCTTGCTCGGGAAAAAAACGGAAAAACTTTAGCATGAGTAATTTCAAAAAAAATAGGCTCAGGCGATATCCCCAACAGCACCACACCCTCCCAGAATCGAATCCTCGCGGAACGCACCGCGACCGGTTTTGCTGAGGATGCCGTGTTGTAACTTTGTAAAGCAAAGCTAAGAGTGACAACGCAATCGCGCCCTGATCGGGGCCCGACGGCGCAATCGGGGCCCGATCGGGGCCCGACGGCGCAATCGGGGCCCGATCGGGGCCCGACAGTGCAATCGGGGCCCGATCGGGGCCCGACGGTGCAATCGGGGCCCGAGCGGGGCCCGACGGCGCAATCGGGCCCGACCGGGGCGCGATGTGTCCCGTGGTGCAAGCGGGCTCCCACCAACCCCAGCCACATATTATAGCTCAACGCCGGTTTTGTGTATCCAGCAACTAGGCCATGCCAGCTTGGTACAGTTGACGCGGCCCGACTGAGTCCGGCCCCGATCGGGGCCCGACGGCAATCGGGACCCGATCGGGGCCCGACGGCGCAATCGGGGCCCGATCAGGGGCCCGACGGTGCAATCGGGGCCCGATCAATCGGGGCCCGACGCAGCAATCGGGCCCCGACCGGGGCGCGTGAGTCCGGCCCCGATCGGGGCCCGACGGCGCAATCGGGCCCGATCGGGCCCCGACGGTGCAATCGGGCCCCGACGGCGCATTGCCCGACCTGTGCCCGGTGAACCTCGCACACTTTCCTCAGGGCTGCCCCATAGCTTTTGCAGAACCTGGTGGAAACCTCGTGGAGCGTTTTTGGAACCCAAAGCCTACGCCATACTCAGTAATGCCAAGCATTTACTCTGCTGCGCAGTGAGAGTCCCGCAGCAACGTGATTTGATTTGCAACAAAGCCAACACTTCGGGCCGCACTGCCTGAAGAAGTGAGCAAGTGACAAAACATTGAAAGTGTGCTGAGAACCATGAACTTCGGTTTTGCTTAGTGTTCCGCCCATGAGCAAGGCGATCTTCTGAGCAAACGACGGGCGCACGACATATTGTTTTTCTTTAGGGCAAACCATGGAACCTTGCGAAACCTTTGTGGAACCTTTTGGCGCCTTGTGGAACCCTTGTGAGGGGAAGGGGCGCGAGTCAGCTTAGTCAGCTTTGGGGGGTGTGCAGCGCAAAGGGGAAGGGGCGCGAGTCAGCTTAGTCAGCTTTGGGGGAGGTGTGAAGGGGAAGGGGCGCGAGTCAGCTTAGTCAGCTTTGGGGGGGCGCAAAGAGGAAGGGGCGCGAGTCGTTCCAGCATGGTTTTACCAGGTTCTGCGAGGGTGGTTTGCCCTGCAAGGGTGGTTTGCCCTGGGGGGTGGTCCGGGGTGGTTTGAGGTAAGGTTCCACAAGATTTCTCCACCAGTGTTCCGCCAGTGTTCCACCAGTGTTCCACCAAATTCTGCGAGGGCTGCAGGGTGGTCCGAGAAGGTTCCACAAGGGTTCCGCCAAAGGTTCCACCGCTGTTACCCTGGTGGAACCCTGTGTGGAACCCTCGTCTTGTGGAACCTTACATCAAACCTTTCAGAACCTGGCCTGGTGGATTTGGTGAACGCGGCGTGAACCCGGCGGGTGGAAGCCTTGGTGGAAACCCTGGTGGAACCTCGCAGAACCTGGTGGAACCTTGCCTCAAACCACCCGGGACCACCCCGCAGCCCTTGCAGAACCTGGTGGAACACTGGTGGAACTTTCGTGGAACCTTACCTCAAACCACCCCAGACTATCCCGGCCCAGCCCTTGCAGGACTGGTGAACCCGTGTTGGAACCCTCGTCTCGTGGAACCTTACATCAAACCACCCCGGACCACCTCGCAGAACCTGGTGGAACCTTGCCTCAAACCACCCGGGACCACCCCGCAGCCCTTGCAGAACCTGGTGGAACACTGGTGGAACTTTCGTGGAACCTTACCTCAAACCACCCCAGACTATCGCAGGACCCCTGTGTGGAACCCTCGTCTCGTGGAACCTTACATCAAACCACCACCTCACAGACTGGAACCCTGGTGGAACCCTGGTGGAACCCTGGTGGAACCCTGGTGGAACCCTGGTGGAACCCTGGTGGAACCCTGGTGGAACCCTGGTGGAACCCTGGTGGAACCTTGCCTCAAACCACCCCAAATCACCCCGCTGCCCTCGCAGAACCTGGTGGAACCCTGGTGGAACCCTGGTGGAACCTTGCCTCAAACCACCCCGGACCACCCCGCAGCCCTCGCAGAACCTGGTGGAACCCTGGTGGAACCCTGGTGGAACCTTGGTGGAACCCTGGTGGAACCCTCGTGGAACCTTACCTCAAACCACCCCGGACCACCCCGCAGCCCTCGCAGAACCTGGTGGAACTCTGGTGGAACCCTCGTGGAACCGTCGTGGAACCTTACCTCAGGGCTGCCCCGGACCACCCCGGACCCTATCTGGGCTGAGACCCCAAAGCTTTCAGCTGTTGGGGAAACAAAAGAAAGGATGCAGTCAAAGCGGCCCAGCTGCATCCGATAAAATGGCCTCCTCCACCGCGATTCGCTCTGCCACTGAGGGCGGATGCCTTCTGCGGAAAGGGCGAGTACAACTAAGCACATACATAAAGTTCTCAAAAAACCCCAGCCTCTGGCAGCAGGGTAAAGTCCGTCTGCGGCAAGCTGAAACAAGCTGCTGCAGCAATCGCGCAGAACAATGGCACACTTCCTTTGCGGCGTCTCATGGCCATCACTGCGTGGGCACGAAAGGTCAACAACGCAATGCTTCCATAAAGGTTAAGCAGCTGAATGCATGTGCGATAAGATTGAGACACCACGTCGTCCAACACAGCTGAAGCCATCGTGCGACACAGACTTTTGCAACTGCGCTCACGAGCCCCAAACGTCCAGCACGCTGAACCGAAGGACCCACCTTCTCCATCGGAGTGGGGTCTAGGGTTTTGTGGCCTTGAAGGTTTAGGGGGTGAGCAAGCCGACACTTTCGAGAAGCCTTGCCTCTTAGTAGGCAGCGCCGACATCGGCTGTTCCCTCTAAAACTGATCCTGAAGCTAAACCCTACATTCTGAGAGCCCAAACACCAGTTCTGAGATGGTTGTTCGCACAGCTCTTCAGAGCCAACCCTTTTCTCGAAAACTGTGCCATCATGCAAAAACGCGAAAACACAGGAACTCGACCGCTGCGCGCAAGGAACCAAAATAACTGTCTGCAACAAGGCGGCACATCAACCTACCATGAGGCAGCTTCCTCGTGCAAGCTTTTCAGGGCATCTTCTGTTTGGCGATTGTCGCGTGCAAGCTTGAAGCAAACCTGTAAAGCTTCTCTGTAGGATGCCATATGATGGCATGCGCGTTCTTATCACAAATGAGCTTTGCAATTTCGCGTGGCTCATAGGCGGTAGTATTGATGACTGCCTCAATGCCCGCGCCTCCGCTCTGAAGCAGTGCGTCTAAAATCTGCTGACCCACCTGCTTTCCATCAAGTGTAAGACTCATGTTCACCACGTCTTGTTCTGCCATATTGTGGAAATCGACCTTGATGTCGCTCAGATTGATTCCTCTCCTCAGAGGGGAAAAGACACCGAAAGCGAGTCTCACACAAAGGTCAGAAACGTGACTGCAAAGCAAAACACGGGCAAAGTGTTTAGAGAAGGCACTTCAGCATACTGCATGCATCCACCAAATCACCAGCGCGGCGGCCACCTTACTGAAACTCTGTGCTCACGCAACAAAGGGAGGCATTCAAAACAACAGCTTGACAGAAGCCTGAAGCATTGCCTGCCACAGCACAATTGTCAATGATTGCTGCCGCGGCCGACTCGTGCTCGTGCATCTTGAGCACTCCTCGCCTCCTTCTCGTCATGTCGCCCACCCAAATGTCGCATCTGCGACCGCCAGCATCAAGCGCCAGAGCCGAGGCGCAGACGAGGCGGCCACAGCACCTGAAATGCATTGGAGACTGGGAAAGCGGCGACTCCAACAAGAAGACAGAGTGATTCGATTGGATTGAGCTATCAGCCGCGGGACATGTGCCGATGCTGCGTAGCGTGAATCACTCGACATGTCCTTCGCTGTGGTGGAAACCAACTTCATCCCCTCCTCCTTACCTCAGGGGAGTTGCTTGCAAACGCTGACGCTATTCACAAAGTGCGCGCAGGCCTCCTTTGGTGTCGCGAGGAATGTCCAGAAGCAGAATGGGATATTGGGTCAGGTTCTTTGCAAACTTCTTCTTTTGCAACTTGGCGCGGACACGACGAAGCACCTCGGCAAACATGTTCGCGTCCTTCACTCCAAGCATTTGGTACATGGCAGGCTTCCAGTCTTCCACCTCGACCGTGAAGGCCCACACACCGCAAACACCGCGCAAGGCCTCTTCCACGGCCACAGTCTTGCCGGATTTGTAGCGGCCACTCACGATGGTCGCGTCGGACTGCTGCCGCCAGCTGCTCAGCCTATGTTGGATGTCATCTACGACCTTTCGTGGGACGACCTCGTCCGGAGACTTGGCTGGCTCATAGGGTGCCATGAACTTCTTCACGGCCAGACGCTTCATGCGAAAGCCCCGAGGAGGCATACAGGAATGCAAGGCCTAGGCCAGACACCACAAAGCCTAGGCCAGACACCACAAAGCCTGCAACAGCCAGGGAAAAGTCTCGTATATCGCGAATGTCAGCTGTCCTGTTGGGCGCAGCATGCATTGCCCTTTGTATCACAGCTCGAAGCTGCGGCCACGCATTCAGTTGGGTCGGTGGCGCGCTGGGCCGTCTTCTGCAACTCACCGGCTTTGCCTTGCTCGACGCAAAAGCACTTTAGCATGAGTAATTTCAAAGATCTACGATGCAGTCAAAGCGGCCCAGCTGCGTCCGATGAAATGGCCTCCTCCAGCGCGATTCGCTCTGCCACTGAGGGCGGATGCCTTCTGCGGAAAGGGCTCTGGCAGCAGGGTGAAGTCCGTCTGCGGCAAGCTGAAACAAGCTGCTGCAGCAATCGCGCAGAACAATGGCACACTTCCT